TGAAAGGTTTTTTTTTTTTTTTTTTTTTTTAATCTTTTCTTGGATGATTGAACCAATGTGTATCTACAAGTTGCTTGTAGAATAGTGTTAAGCTATAATGATTGTAGCATAATTAGTTTGTTTTTAGGTTGGCTTTTCTAGAGTTGGCTCCTTGTTATTAGTCTTGATGTCTATCTGTTCTAAATTCATAGGCTGAGTACTTATTGTGTTATCATGGGTTTACTTTGCAGCACACCATGTTTTATGTCATTTCATTTTATCATTTTTTGTCGTTTAACTTTTTTTTTGTTCTCATATTTTCTATATTTGTGGAGTTAAATTAACTTGGTGGTATTGAAGGATGTGGAATGGCAGATGGCAAGTGCCTCCCATGTTCGGGTGTTTCTGGAAGAACTGCTGCTGTATATTCTTGCTGTTCTCTTGGTCATAACAAAATTCATTCCCATGTCAAAATTAGAGGACTAAAGTGTCGCTTTGGGGCTGCATCTTTTGTATGTGAAGCGAAGAGGAACCCGGATTTCTCAAGGCAGAACAAGCATGGGTCCTCCAGAAGCAGGAATAGGAACAATGATGGGAGAGATAGCTTTGAGAGCTTTGATGATGATATGTTTTCTCTGAAAAATGGACCGCCTGTGTCTCTTTCTACCTCAGGAAAATTCCAGGCCACTTCAGCCCCTGGTCCTAGAGAGAAGGAGATTGTTGAGCTATTTAGGAAGGTCCAGGCTCGGCTGCGTGAGAGGGCTGCTTCCAAAGAAGAAAAGAAAGTTGAAGCCTCCCGAGGGCAAAGTAAAGAGAACAGTACTGTAGATTCCCTCCTCAAACTATTGAAGAAACACTCAGTTGAGCAAGTAAAGAGAAGTAGTGGAGCAGGCAGAGGAAAAGATTTTAGTTCGGACCAGTTGCAAGAAAGTAACCAATACGATGCTGGACGAAACACCAAAATTTCTGATTTGGATAGTGCTCCTAAGGATGAGCTCCAAGAGGGCAATGTCTCCTCCCCAGTAGCTAGACCTCGGTCAAATTTCCAAAGAAGGTCTCCTGTTCCTCGTGTAAAATACCAGCCTGTTTCTGACGACGAGGATGACATGAATGTATTGCCAGCAGGCAGTGAGGATACAGAGAACAATCAGGATCAGATAGATTTGAAGCTTAATGACGAACCAGAGCCTGACTCCGAGTCTGATATAGATTCAAAGGATGAGTTGTTCTTCCCAAACATAGGGATGGCTGAATTGTCAGAGGACGATGATTCTGAGCAAACCTATAATGATGAGAATGTGGAGGAGCAGCCCGTGGTTCAACATGAGGATTTGAGTGCTCTGAAGCTGTCTGAATTGAGGGCACTTGCAAAGTCTCGAGGTCTGAAAGGATTCTCAAAAATGAAGAAGAGTGATCTCTTGGAGTTGCTAACTGAGAGCTAATTCTTGATGGAATGATATACAAGAAGAAAAAAGTGACAAAACAACACATGCCATATTAAAATAGATTATTATTTTCTTTCATGCTTTTGACTTGTCATTCTATCTGATGTTTCCTTGTGTTATTTTTTTTTTTCACTCTAATTTAATTCTTCCAAGTACTTGAGGTCTAGAGTCTACGCATCATTAGAGTAATCGTGGTATCTTTGCTTTGGAGGAATTTTATATCTGTGATGAGATCTTGCGGTCTTTTGGTTATCATGTGATCGAAGTGATGAGATTTTTTTATCTTTCTCTGTCCCTTTATTCTTTTGCTGATGAGATTTTTGGTGGTCCTTGGGACAATGCATGTGCAAGCATAAAGTCAAAGAAACATACATGATAGTTTAAGGTAAGAATATAAACCTCAAACCGTCTTAAGCACAAGGTCAAGGTGGGTCAGAAAGTGTCTTGGCCCATGTTAGTTTAAAACTTATGATTTTGTTCACAGAAGGCACATGGCTGTTTGGAATCTTTCTAATACAAGCTGAAACAAACTAGTCTTTAATCTATTGTCGTTTTGGACCTTATAATTTTAAGCATATGAAATACACTTTCTTTTATTGTTTATCTTGCAGGATGGGCTATGATTGTTCGTTAATCCATTTACAATTTTGATTGAGTTAATCTTTTAAATCTACCCCTTGTTGAACGTTGAATGTAATTCAGATTTAACTAATTGTAACTGTTTAGTTAGTGATTAGTTTGTTAGGGTGATGACTGGTTTCCAATAGTTATAAATACACATATACAAGTGTTCTATAAAAATTGAGTGAAGAAAAATAAGTACAGTACAAATTTTTTCATTACTATTTTTATTTTTTTTGGATCTTCTTTTATTGATAAAATAAAGCCTCCTTAAATTCATAGAATTCAATGAGTTTAATTTATACCGAAATTATGGGATGGGGTCAAGTTAATGTATCATGACATTATTTTTGTCTGTTGAAATAACACAATATTATCCCAAAGTATTTCTTTCCCAATGTTGATAAAAGAGGCTGCTGCAAATCACCGTGAGTCGGGGTGTGGGAATGAAAGTATAAAAAAAGTTGATAGAAAACATTAGTTTACTTGCTAAGTGTAATATGAATTGATAAATAATAACCTGTTAGAGTAATTTTCTGAAAGGAAAAAAAAAATTCAGAGTAATGAAAAACATATATTATTTGTTGTTTAGGTGGAGAGACCAAATATTGAATTAGGCCCATCTTAAATTAATATTGGGTCTAGAATTGAGACATTTAAAAGATTGCTTTTGTTTGTGGAATAAGGTTGGACTTCACTGATGTACTTAAGTCAAATAGCAAAGGTAGATGGTCAATTTTTAAAGGAAAGTGGTAAGAATATTGGTTTGAAGGCAAATTAAAAGTGAAAAGCATTGGGAAGTGTAATAGTACAGTACATTCCTCCTAATTTCAAGCCCCAAAACGTTTTCACAACAACTAAAAGTTTTTTTTTTTTTTTTTCCTAGAGTATCCACCGCTAATAACAAATGTTGAAAGCATTTCAAAGGGTGAAATAACTAGTCCCAGTATTTAACATGACTGCATACACAAGGCAGGATTTGAACTCCTGACCTTGTTTAAGCGTAGATCAACCTCTACCGCTGAATCACACGCTTGGAGTTACAACAACTAAAAGTTTAAAATAATAATAATAATAACAATAATAATAATAACAATAATAATAACAATAATAATAATAATAATAATAATAACAATAATAATAATAACAATAATAATAACAATAATAACAATAACAATAATAATAATAACAATAATAATAATAACAATAATAATAATAATACTAATAATCATACTAATAATAATAATAATAATAATAATAATAATAATAATAATAATAATAATCCTACTAATAATAATGATAATAATAATAATAATAATAATACTAATACTAATAATAATAATAATACTAATAATAATAATAATAATACTAATAATAATAGTAATAATAATAATAATAATAATAATAATAATAATAATAATAATAATATAACAACAAAAATAACACCAACAATGGTCGGTCAAGAACATATTTGGGACTGGGCACTAGTATATTCAATAATTTACTGCAATAACTGTGCATTTTTATGCATTTTCAGTGATGTTAAATTGGCTATTAAACTTTTATTATTCAATTGATACACAATTATGTAAAAAGAAAAAAATATGATACACACTTAAATTATTCAATCCTTTGTTTTTTTTACACCAATGATTCTGCCAATGATTCTATCAATTTGTTTTAAAATATGTCTTTCCACTGAAGTTAAGGTAACGGGAATAACAATATTTTATAAGTTATCTATATTTAATAATATGTTTATTAGAAACATTATATTCTATTTAAAGCAAATAATTAACTATGAATTATAACATTAAATTTTAATTAAAGTTATTCAAAATCTTAGAATACAATTTGTTGGAATTAAGAATATATTTTTGTTAAACATTCATAGTTGTGTATTCAGTATGTGTAATCTTATAAAAAAAAAAAAAAAAAAAAAAAAAAAAAAAAAGGAGACTGTAAGCAAGTAGCACAGGTCTTACTTGCCCTTGACATTGAGACTGGAGTTAGGTTTTGAGGAACTTTCTTGATTTTGTAAGCTATACATAACCAAACAACTCTTTAGAATGTCGGCAGCATCTTTTTTTATTTTTATTTATTTTATTTTTTTAAGGAGACAACAAGCAGTCCAACTTAAGTACAACAACAAAAGTGGAATCAATCTGAAGGACAAGATCCAAAAAGTGGTCGAGTTGGATTTTTTTTAGTGGAGAAAAGCTGAACTTTGCTTGTCAAGTGAGTAAGTAATAGTGCCATGAAATGATACTATTTTTATTCTCAAATTATTTAGTAAATTAAAATAATTATGTCCTTTATTTCAATTATGACGATGTAAATTATTACATTGAATTAGAAACAAACTTTACATAAAATGTTTAATTTACAGAACCGTTTCTTTCGAAATAAATTCCTATATTGATTCTTGCAATTATAACCATCCATATTTTAATTCCTCATTTTAAATTCACTTCAGTCACATTTTAAAAAAAAGTAATGAAGATCACACCCCACACATAATCATTTGATATTAAGTTGTTTTAATTTAATTAATGATTTTAAATTTGAATTTTGAAGTGTGTTAAATATTTAGAGATAGAATTAAATGAGTATGTATAGTTATTGTTAAAATGATTATTTTAAAAGTCAACAAATCTATTATAAATGATAATTTATAATAATATAAAATTATTTTATTGTGTTAATACATAATTTTTATAATTTTTTTTAAGAAATAGAAAGAATATTTGTATTTGAAACTTTAAATACGATATAAATATTTAGAAGCAAAACTCTTCGTGCTTAACTCATATTCTAGAGTATTTGAAATTAAATTGTGATGGTGTTGTAAGTAAAAGACTTGCTTCTTGTGGAGGTGTTGTTAGAATAACATGAAAAATTTTGTTGTAGTTTTTTCTTGTAATTTTGGATATTATTTTATAATTCAGACTGAACTTTGGATTAATTACCATGACCTTAAAATAGTAAAAGAAACGAATATAGTAGATTCATTGTTGATGGAGACCGACTATTCTTTCACAATCCAATTCTTAAATGATGGATGTTACATACATCATTCTTGTTATTTTTTAATAAACAAGGTGATTAATATGGTTGGAGATAATAATGAAGTGTCATACATACATAAATTTTGTGAAACAAACCAGGTTGCAAACAACTTAGCTAAGAATGAACACTTATTTCTTGAAAGCATTTAGATTCATTAGCTTCTTCCACCATGGATCTATATCTCTTTACTTATAGGGCTTCATAGGGTGCAATACATATACTAGAATGGAAACTATTGTTTTAAGTGAATTCAATCAAAGGTAAATGTTGATCCCAACTACTAGAATCCTCTAGTACACAAACTTTCAACAAATCTTCTTATAATTATATGATTCTTTCTAATTGTTCATCTGTTTGAAGATGATAAGTTGAACTAATAATTCTCACTTTATTTTCTTACTTCACATTTCCCCTTCTAGTAATCTTTAAGCCTATTTATAGGCATATGAGTAATGATTACTCATTGTTTATCTCTAACTATATTAATTTTGTACTTTTTTTTGTTTTTCATTACTTGAATCTCCAACTTTTTGTTACATAAAGATAATTTTAATTCTTATTGAAAATGTTTATATGTAACTTATTTTAATCGTAAATTTTTTTAGAGGTATTTAATTTTGGACTTTAGTTTTCCCAGTGAAAAAAAAATCTGTTTAAACACATTGTTTTGCTTCTCATAAAAGATACATGTATTTTTTTTATTAAAAAGAAAAAAAGAAATCATTAAAATATCTTACAAAATTAAATATCAAAATAGCCGGATCTCACTCTCACATACATGAAATTGATTCGTTATAGGCCCATTTTCATCGATGTGATGGCTTGTTATAGGCCAACAATGATTATCCAAGTCTGAAACACAGTACCATAATTACACTTTGGACTGGAGCCCATAATTCAACTCCTACTTTCCTTTCTTTTTCTTTGGAAACAACACCACGTGCATATGCTTCTTCTTGCTTCCAATACCACTTTCCCTCACAAAATTTAAAAAAGTGGGAATAAATATTTACACTTTCACATGCTGGGTGACCCCAAACCATAAAGTTTATCCATCAAGGATTTTGGGTTGCTGATTATGTGACTAATGTGTGCTTTTTCTGTCCAAATTTAATCCATCACATGGCGAAAAGGATAGGAGAAGATGAAACAAATCCTTTTATGATCTATAATACAAACCATGACGTATACGGCAAACAAGATAGGTATATTAATTCAATAACCAATCCAAGGCATTAATGTTAAGATCTCATTCAGCATACATAATCGTGGTTGACTTTAGTTTTTAGGGTTTTTGTTAAGGAACATAGGAAAAGGAGGGAAGAATAGATAGGTTAGGATTGGATTAAACACTTCTTCCTTGGATCCAACTTTTTTACCTAAAAAAACAAAACTGAATTTATTGGGAGGGTTTATCTATGGAGAAAGTAGGTGGAGACTTTTTGGTGCAACTTTATAATTATGAGAATGATACAGTTATAAAAAAAATAAAGCACTACATCAATCGTAATTATTATTGGAGAAATGAATAACATTATGAGCGTATGGAATATAGCCTTTCAAAGATTTAATTCTTACAATCTAGAATGTGATC